GGGGGATAGAGCGAGAGGGACAAGAGGACGGGGGATAGAGCGAGAGGGACAAGAGGACGGGGGATAGAGCGAGAGGGACAAGAGGACGGGGGATAGAGCGAAAGGGACAAGAGAACTGTAGATGCACAGAGCAAGCGGATAGACAGAGAGGGACAGAACAATAGGGGAGGATTCAGCACCTTGGCGTTAAGCAGCAGAAACAGAGGATGGTCTGGGGTGGCCTGGGCTCTCCACTGCAGGACATCCTGCAGGTACAGGAACTGTGGGAGAAAAAGACCTACAGTCAGGATGACAGACCCACAAATGGCCAGGAGAGGGCATCATGCCTCATTAGGGACATCGGGAGGGACAGGCATTCATAGGGATGGGCTGGCAGAGATGGTGACATGGGGGGTGGGTGTGTACCTTACGTAATCCTCCATGGGGGGCGGGGGTAACATGCAGGGGTTGGTATGTACCTTACGTGCCTGGTCATTGTCCTCCAGCTGGGTCACGTCCCTACCGCACGCCTGGGCGATCCTCTTCCCGGCCACAAGGTTCCCCACTATCATAGAAGCGGGTCCCACCTCTGTCGGCACACAGCAGCACAAGCAAGCGGCTCAGGAGATGCCGGACATGCGGGCCCCACCCCAACCTTTATTTTGTGAGAGCTACTTTTAGAAAGAAATACTCTGGCAGAGCTGCCCCCCCGGTATGTTCTGATGACCGGGCTGGGGGGGGATTGGACTACAAATGTGTCTGCCGATCAGTCTGTCGACGGCGGTTGACTGGTAGGCGGCCAATGCCTTAGAGGATGATATTGGCAAAGAGATTTTCTCATTTCTGGGGAAAACGCTTCTCTTATAGCGACACGCTAACGCAGCAGGTGGGCAAATGATGGTGACAGCTGATCACATGGCCACCCCCCCCTCCCTCCCTCCCCCCTCCCCACCGCACCTGGCTGCTTCTGCCTGGGCTTGGGCAGGTTGGTGACACAGGTGTGGGGGCACATCAGCACGTTGCAGGGGTGCAGCGCCCCCTCCAGGAAGCGCTGCTTGGTCTCCGAGATGTGGATGCCCCCCAGCGGGGCCTTGGGCAGCGTGTTGGCCGGCACCAGTGCCAGGCAGTACACCCCCACCTGGTGGATGCTGTCGATGGCCTGATGGGACAGACGAGGGGGTCAAAGGTCACATGGAAACGGCATGGGGCGTATTTGTGAGTGACACTGCACTTTTCACTGTTCTTGCACCAATCCTATTACAACCCCAATCCCCTAGTATTTCTGGCTTTGTGCTATTTGCACTATTGTATGCTGCTATGCATGTATATTGTATTTATTCTTCATCATATGATTGAAATCAATTATTTCTTATACTTTTGAAAAGGTGTCAAAAATTTTGTCTGATCCATTTCTGGAGTTTTCTTCTGCTTTTTTGTGTTGTTCCAATGCAGTCAATAATATTTTTTGAGAAGTGGTGCATTTCTGCAGAAAATGCACAAGTGCCATTATTTTTGGCCATGACTAAAAGTGTTGTCAGTGTATGTACATGTGGCTCAATGTAGCCCTTGTGCTGCTATTTGACTCTCCCTGCTGGCCCCTGGAGGATGGGCTCCCCCTTTGAGTCTGGTTCCTCCCAAGGTTTCTTCCTTCTAGGGAGTTTTTCCTTGCCACTGTCGCCTATGGCTTACTCACTGGGGGCTTTGGGTGGGGATGCTGTAAAGCGCTTTGTGACGATGTAATGTTGTGATAACGCGCTATAAAAAAATAGATTTGTTGTTGTTATGTGTGTAAACAGGCATGTGTGTGCATGCATGTGTGTGTGCATGCATGTGTGCGTGCTGTGTGTGCATGCATGTGTGTGCGCGCATGTGTGCGTGCATGTGTTGTGTGTGCATGTGTGTGTGCTGTGTGCGCATGCATGTGTTGTGTGTGCATGTATGTGTGCATGTGTGTGCATGCATGTGTGTGTGCTGTGCGTGCATGCATGTGTGCGTGCATGCATGTGTGCGTGCATGCATGTGTGCGTGCATGCATGTGTGCGTGCATGCATGTGTGTGTGCTGTGTGTGCATGCATGTGTGCGTGCTGTGTGTGCATGCATGTGTGCGTGCTGTGTGTGTGCATGCATGTGTGCGTGCTGTGTGTGTGCATGCATGTGTGCTGTGTGCGCATGCATGTGTGCTGTGTGCGCATGCATGTGCTGTGTGTGCATGCATGTGCTGTGTGTGCATGCATGTGTGTGCTGTGTGTGTGCATGCATGTGTGCGTGCTGTGTGTGTGCATGCATGTGTGCGTGCTGTGTGTGCATGCATGTGTGCGTGCTGTGTGTTGGCATGTAAGAGCACAGAGCAGCTCACTTGCAGCACACGGCTCATCCACTGGAAGCTGTCCTCCTCTGAGGCGTCCGGCCTCTGCTCAGCCACCACCACAATCCGCTCGTCATGGAGGACCGTCACCGAGAATACCGCAATCCTGTCAGACACGAGGACCTTAGACAGGGCCGTAGGCAACACCGCCCCCTAGAGGTAGCATCTTTAAAAATGGTGGGGGGGGGCTCTACAAATGGCCTTCAAATTTATGTGTGCTCCCTGGGATTTGAACCCATGACCTTTGTGTTTGATTTCCCAAAATCCTCCTCTCACCTTCCCCGGTACACAAACTTCATAGGCTCTACTGCCAGCGCCGTGGCAACAACGTCGTCAGCATTGTGCCTCCGCCCACTGACCACCATCAGGCCGTCCATCTTCCCCACCACAAACACCAAGTTATCCTGGACCCGGGGAGACAGGGGGAGTCAGTGAGGGGGGACTGGCCCTTTGGAACAGAAAATCTCAAAGCCCAGTGTCGCCTACAGACTTACCGGTCCAACGAAGCCCAGGAGGGAGGTTCTCGTAAAGGGCCGGTCAGAGATGGGGGCCCCCGACGCAGCTACGGGGATGGTCTGTAGGGGTGGTCGGAGGTCAGAGGTCAGAGGGCGCTATCCACAGCAGCACCGGAGAAGGGGCTAACCGCTAAGGTCGGCCATGTTGAAACGCACCTCAAACACGTTCTTGGTCATGCCTGGCAAGCCGAAGTAGGAGACACCAGTGCTGCTCGAGCTCAGACAGATCTCACCCACCTCGTCGGTGTGGCACAGGTACGGCGTCCCCTCTATCCGCACTACACACACCAGGGCTACAGGGGGCGCACATGAGCAATTCCACGACAACCCATAAATGGTAATGACTAATCGCAAACAGAAATGCAAATGCATAAACAATTTTCTGTACACTAGATGACAGTAGCGGTCCACATACCACCAGGCATGACTTGGCCAACATCTTGCACAGTCAGAACCGAAAGCTTCTCCTCTGTGTCGACCCGAATGACGCCGTGGCTGAGCCCACTCATGGACAGAACCGCCTTTCCCGGGGGGGGCACGCCCATCTCTGGAGGTCTGGTCCAAAGCACAGATATGTATGAACACATACAGATTCACTGCGAGGTGTAGGAGGACTGTAAATATTTACACTGCACTACCATTTGTGCCATACTGCAGATTCTGACACTGGCTCTGCCAAGTGATAAACCGTGCTCTTCCGTCACTGCACCCACTTACCTGCGAATGGTGACAGTCATAGCTTCGGGGGAGCTGGCACAAGGGCAGATCACCTCTGGCCTGAGTCCACGAGACTGGAACACGTTGAGGAAGGCGTCACAGGACGAGATGGACCCTGCGGACACATGCGCACGCATTGAAGGTATAATCTTCACCGGATACCGTGGGCGATTTGTGGTCTTGTGACGTCACCACTCACAGGGGTTGGCCCCATCGGCGACGATGAGCATCCGCAGCGAGCTGAGGCTGATGTCACGCTGGTCTCGCTGGGCCAAGAGCGACCAGTGCATGTCCCTGGACTTTACCACCGCGACCCGTGCTGCGGAAGACGCACGTTGGAAGTCAGACAGCGGCAGCCAATGAGAGCGCGGCCACGTGGTGGCTCTCAACCAATGTCTAAAGACTTTAAGGAGCAGATTCTCACCCTTGTATGTGTGCACTTTCTGAATCCAGGAGAGGGGGTTCACCTTCATCAGGGAGTACGGGATGCTGATCACGTGCATCCGGTTCATTATACTCTGTCGGGCAAGCGGCACAGGTGAGCGACGAGCGTCATTCAAGGTAAAGGTCACCACGACTGGCACCAGAGCGAGAGCCACCAGAGGCCAGGTGGCAGGATTTATCTGGCTTATTTTGGGGGTGGGAGGGGGTCCACATTCAGGAAACACTGCAGTCTAACGAGTGTGCGACCGTATTTCTCAGCGACCCTGATAGACAGGACTATCCTTAAGAAATATCAGCATCTACACCCCTGAGGATTCTGTATGAGGCCAATCCTCAGGACTACTTTAGTGTACTGGTTTACTTTAACATGCTAATTTAAGTACACAAGCCACAGATGGAGATCAGGCAGGAACCAGTTTGCACAGGTCAGAACAAGATAACACTGTACCGCAAACGAGTTAATCAGTATCCCAGTGAGAAAGAGGGCGGCCCAGGCCGGGTACGCACCGTGAGAACCCCGTGCCACAGACCCGCGTCTCGCTTGAAATCCAGGACATTCGTGATCGTCTCGCCTGCAGGGGGGGGGGGGACGGGACAAGTCAGTGGGAAGGGGTCCCCCTCTTCGCCGTCACCTTGAGGCCAAATCAGGCCTCCTGCACCTCCTCAAGAAACGAATCACTGCTCCCCATCTCCCCCAGAGAATGGGGTGTCGACCACTCACCCTCGGAGTAGCTGCAGGCCTGCGTGAGGGCGTGGCAGTGGGCCAGCATGGCGGCGTGCGAGACTGTGATTCCCATGGTGCTGCCTTCCTTGCTCGTCTTGTACTGCATCGAGGCAGAGAGTGCGCAAGGGCGCCCCCTAGAGTCACACGCTTACGTAACAGCTTAACAGACCAGGCACAATATCATACCTGGTGGTAAGATGGCCCCACAACGATGTTTGGAATTATCTTGCAAGGCCTCCTAGATTTTATTTAGATTCCGGGCAGTGAAGTTACACCTTTTAACTGCAGGGTATTTCTATCCGGGAGGGGGGATCATATAGAAATAAACTGTATGGAAGGTAAACCTCCGAAAGCTGCAGAAGTGACTCACCTCGATGTAGGCCGTCTCGTTGCTGGCGTCCCGGATGGGGGGGTGCCAGTCCTTGTGGGGCTTCACCACGTGCTTCCCGTCCGTCACGAACCACAGCAACCGTGGCCAGCCTGAACACACACGCGTACACAGGCACACACACACATACACACACAAGTTCCATATTCAGCTGAAACTACAGTCCACAAAATCCTTTATAAACACAAAATATCTGTGTAAGTCAATAAAATATAAAAAGATCATGTAATGCAATATACAGCGCTTCTAAAATCACAATGAGGAAGCCTCACTCCCTAATTAAAAGGCTGCTGTTAAATTACAGCCCGGCGTGTAACACAAGCCCGTCACACCTACCTTTAAAGGTCACGACCTCTCCCGTTTGTGCTTTGGGGAGACCCTTCTGACAGGCGTCTGTGGTCAGGGCCAGGGCGACCCCGCAGCTGCCCAACAGGAATCCGATTTGCTGACTTCCTGCATCCTAGGGAGCCAATCAGAAGGGGCCTTATTACAAATACTGGCTTGTCTGGTCATCACTCGCAGCTACAGGGCCAATGCTAGCTCAGGCACTGCAATGCCGGCCTTCCCCAGTGTTCAGAAGTGCGTCATTCGGATCCAGTGCTGCCATTTACAGCAAAATATATCATACAGCAGACAGTTTGTACCTTGATCCTTGATGCCTCTTATGTGAAAACTGAAATGAAAGTTTGAGGGACACAGCTGTGTCCCCTGCACCTCAAGATGCCCTCTGTTTGAATCAGAAGCTCTTATGCTTTGGTTAGAGCCAGCAGCCTTTATTTATGTAAATCGATCTCACGGCTCCAGAGCGCGTCTCCTTGGCCAGACATCCTGTACCTCTTGTCCCCGAGTGTCACATGCTGCTTTCAGCGCCCGCTGTTCTTCAGCACTTTCTGGAACGGGCTAACTGATGTCCCGGCCAAAGGAGCTGGCGACGGGCCTCCGATTAATGCGTCCTTTCACCCCCTTAAACCCCCCCCCAAGTCCCCAGGCCCCAGCCTCCCCCGGTGCTCACCCAGCCAGGCAGCACGGAACAAACGAAAAGGTCAGAACCCAGCGATTTTAAAGTCGCAGTGCTCAAGTCAGATAATTACCACATTCTTCCCAGCTCTCTCCCTAGAAATCAGGGCTGCAAACTGTACCTAATGAGGGGAGAAATAAACATTGACTCCCACCACTCTGGAGCCCCCTAAAATGCAGCCAGAATGGTACGATCCTGAGGTGAAATCTCCTTTTGATTTAGATGCGGGATCAACATCACTTTAAGATTGCTGGGGGGACACTTTGCTCCATAACTGTGCAATTAGACGATCCATTAATGTTGACAGTCATTAAAGAGCTGCAGAATCAGCACCACAAGTGCGCGCGGTGCCAAGCAAACCTCATCTGTATTCCCCACTGCTCCACATCAGACAGACAGACAGCAATAAACCGCATAAAGCTGGGCTCCTCCATTCTGCCATCACACTGACATTAAAAATCCATCCCTTTTCTTAATCATCCTTGCATTAACTATAAAAGTGAAATGATAGTGGGTGGAGCCTATCATAGTGGCAGAGTCCTTGCCAGACCACCAGGGGTCACTGCTGCACTTTTTCAGCAGCAATAGCAGGACCAATGCTGTTAGATTACCTTCCTTGTGAGGGGCACCTCAATGGGCACTGGGACCAGCTCTGCCAGTAAACAGCCATAGAATGCCACCATGAACATCACTGGGTCATTGTTGGGGAACACTAGCGCCACCTAAGGGAGAATCACAACCAGAACATTAGATTTGCTTGACTGGGTCCATAGCGTTGTAGCCTGCTCTCCAGAGCCTGTGTGTGCTGGTGTGTTGGGGATGGGAGCAGGCGCTCACCCGGTCACCCGGCCGCAGGAGGGGCTCATTGCGAGAGCTCAGCTTGTTGAGGAGCGTGTATGCCAGCTTCTGACTACGTGTCCACAGCTTCCCTGAGGAGAAGCACAGGCGTGTGGAGACACGGATTCAAACAAGCATCCAACACTACCTCACCACGCCCCGCCCCACGCCCCGCCCCCCCACCCCACACCCCCCAGTCTGCCAAAGACACACCCTCCTACCGTAAGTGATGGTGTACACGGCTTTGCCAGAGTTGTCCAGCGCAGTCAGGCAGGGGCTCTTGGGCTGGGTGGTGCCCCATCGCTGCAGAGACGCCAGCAGGGACGGGGGCCAGTTGGAGACGACACCCAGCGGCTCTCCTTCCAGGGGGCTCATTTGCGTACCCTCTGGCTTTGGCTGGTTGGGGTCTGGGTGCTGGACTGCAGGAGAAATGCAACATAAAGGAAGAGTTAAAGCAAGCTGACATGGTCCCAAATTTAGGCAGTGCAAACATCCTGAGAATGTCAAAGAGGGTCTCAGTGAAGGATGACGGAGAGGTGAGCCTGCTCCGGGGGGGGGCCCACAGCCCCCCCCGCCCGAAATGATAACGAGACTGCCCACTACGGAAAATGCTAATCTGCTTCAATTAACATGGCAATCAGTGTAAACAATCTCCCACGTAGACAACGAGTGCTGCCCCCCAAGACTGACACCTATGAGTGCTCGCATGCGGGGGAGGGGCGCGCTGAGCGGGGGTGGCTCCGTGCCACAGTCTGGGTGACCGGAGGGAAGCCATTTGAATGTGCGTCAGCCGCAAACTGCTAGCATTCTAGCATTAGCATCAGTCGGAAAAGGCACGCGTTCAGTTTGCCCCTCTGTCTCTCCCTGCCCTCCTCGGTCAGCGGCTTCGAACCCTTAGCTACAGCGCTACCAGGACCGGAACAGGGACCGGAACCAGGAACGTGAAAGCTAACAGGAGCGGACGGACATCCTCTCTCAGGTCGAATGGTCGCATGCACAAGAGTGCGTGTTCCTGGCTTCGGCGAGGCTATAATCCCGCTCCTGCCCCCCCCCGCCCCCCACCTACCGTCCAGCAACTCCTCAAAGTCGTCGAGGAAGAACTCGCGCAGCGGCGGCCGTTTGGGCCTCTTCAGTGTGTTGAGCAGCTGTTGGATCTTCGACGACACGCGACTGTTCACCGGCACCCCTGGAGGTGGGATGGGTGTGGGGGGGGGGACCGAAAAAAAAGGGAGGGGGGGGGGGGGCAATGACGGAGAGGGAACAATTTGCTGAGCTGAATGAGCAAGATGGATAACAGGACCAGAATATCCCGACAGCCAGTCAAACGGAGGCTCAGGTGTGCCTCAGTCCGCAGGGGGATGACTAGGCGATGTTGCCAAGCAACAGTCTATCCCACAGCCAATCGTCTCTCGTCATTTCAGTAACCAATCAGAGGCTTGCAATACAACACAGCCACTATACTGTACAATACAGTGATATTTAACAGTGGAATGTATTAGTACAACATAACAGCATAAATAAAATAAATGTTATTCCTTCAGACCACAACGGGAGAACTACACGAAGGCATAAAACAGAAAAGGGATTTCAAAGAAGAGTATGTGCATACAAAAGCAAGTACATGCACAAAATGCTTAGCAATCCTAAGAGGACAGAGGGGAATATATGCAAAATGTACCATGAGATCCATTAAAAGGACATCAGTGTCAGCTGGGAGGTGTCCCTCAGACGGACCGGCGTGTCACAGGGGACCTGGGTCACAGCTGCTGTCTTGCTCGGATACTTACGACCCGTCAGCGCATGATAAGTCAATCCACTGGGGAGGGTCAAGGGTGAAGGTTGTACCCAGTGGTTTATGAAACGTTCCGTCCTTGTTAGTTAAATCACCATAGCCCCCCACCCCCAAAGTAATCAGAGTACACAGCCATGTTTCAGAGCAATGCTGCAGATTCTCCTTCCTGTCGCTAGAATGTTTCTATATCCCCGTCGATTTTCCCAGTGAAACAATTAACGTCCCCAATGGTCCGCAGAAATTATACCTGCCTACCAGTGAACTAAGAGCGATTTGCTGGAAAATTGAGCAGCAGTCAAGCATTCGGAACAGCAATCTCCTTCGAACGACCCCCTCCCGCCACGCTCAGGCCTTACAGCCACCCGCCAGCACCGTCACGCCCCCCCACCTAATCCGGAAACATCTCCCCTTCCACATGAAGACTTGGGCTGCAGGAATCTGCATTACCTTCTGCTTATGACTGACTACCATCTACCAAGAATGAAAGGCAGGCACAGGGCGACCGTGCACTCACATCCGGATCTTTCTCCGTCTATGACGATGCAATTACCAGCAGTCATTAAAGGGGGGCGTGGCTCTCATTAGCATAAACACAATGCGAGGCCATGCGTTTTTTCAAACACTAATAAGGCATATCAGTCACACTGGATACATTCCTTTATTGTTCTTTTTCAACCTCTTAAGAACAAAGAGTCATTTCCACCACGATTAAGAGCCGCAGAAACACACAAACACACTCGCTGCCAAGAGCCCTGTCTAAAACCAGATGGCTATAAAACACAGCCAGTCATATGGAGAGCTCAGAGTAAGTTGTGGACCAAATTAAGTAGCATTTTTTTTAAGAATTCCTGGCTTGCGGTACTCACACCTGGCTGTTTCATATGTGCCATGGCTCCGTTATCGGTAGGAGTTTAATCCCAGAAGGCTTTGCAAGAACTGCGACTGGGAAGAAGGAAGGGCGTCACATAGTGCATTGTTGCTCTGGAAGGCTTGGTACTGAAACTCTGGTGACCGTGAAATCGCTTCTTTGTAGACGTGGGACTGTTTCACTGAAGACCTGCCTGGACCTGAAGGGTAACCACCTTACTTGACGGCCTCCCTGGGATGGGTGCAGGTCTGAACCTCAGGATAAGAATTACCGAGCTAAGCAGCGTGCCTTGACATTGGAGTCTTCTGTAGTAAGGTGAGTGAGTTTTGTTTATTTTGTAATAAATCCGGTCATCTGTCTGTCGCTGTTTTAGAGAAGGTCATAAGAGTACTGCAACCCTGAAATGTCTGTCACAAATCTATAAACATCAGGAGGTCAACCTGAAGCCAGCGCAAAATGTTAACGGAGTACAGCGTGCGGGGAGCTCGGAGGGACGGCGGGATCGCACAGACAGCAGCGGAGCCGGAAGAAGCGAACAGACACCAGACAGACACTAAGCGGAGAAAAGGGGAGTAAATACCATCGATCGCTAGGGACACCCCGGCAACATTCCCATCAGAGCCTGGAGTGAGAAAGACATGAGATTAAGACGCGGCCAGTCCGCACCCCTGCTCCCTGGTCCCAAAAACCGCATGGTCAGAACAGCAGGTCCGAGGTTCCCTCATAGGAGAGGAGGGGCAGGATGAGCAGAAATCAGCCGTGAAAGCGGGTATGTTTTTGGGTTTGGAAATCAAAGGTGGTGGGGGAATGGATTTCATACATCTGCCATGATCTAATCCTAAATCTGGTTATAGTTTAACTATTAATTTCCCCTCAGGAAACACAGGACAGTTCCAGGACCCCCCCCCCCGCTTGGTGGGCGGAGGTGGTGGAGGCACGGTCCCACAAACCCCGCCCATCCCTGCACAGCAGAACAGCATCTCGGAATCAGAGATGCCGAGTGCGTCGTTTGGTCGGCCCTGACTCCCGACATGGGCTCCAGTCTCCTGTCGCGGCATGACGTGCCGGAAACGAGGGCGATGACCTTGTTGCCACGGAGACATGGGCTCCTAGAGTGACCGTAAAGCCCCGGGACTCACCATCTGCGGTCTCCAGCAGGTTGGAGTTGTTGTAGCCCCTGGGGACCCCCCGGACCGAGGCAACCTGGGGACGCTCCACATGCACAGAGCGCTCTGATAGGCCTGTCACATCGGGCGGTGCTGAATGGTTGTCTGTTCAGGGGTGGGGCGTAGGGAAGTTAGAGGTCACACGGCGGGACTGATATTTAACACATCGACTTAGATCTATCAGTCTAAGGCTCTGATTCACAGATCTGAAACATCTGGTTGCAACAAAACGTCTTTTTCGATAAAAACAGACCCAAAACAGACATTCGAGTTCATTACAGTGTTCAGATACAGCCGCACCATTTGCAAATACAGACGGTAATATAGTGATGTCATCCCAACATTTCACCATGACATAAGTGTTGTGTCTTAACTCTGCCGGACAGCTGGTGCCAGTCCACGGGGGGGCGTTATTAAAACAAAGCGCCAGATTTGTTTCCTTCTGTGCGGGGAGTTCTGCGTTTGCATCCTGTGAGCCGGGTTCTAGCAAAGCCATGAACCGGCATCAGTGGCAACATGTAGAGCCCTGTATCGAACTCGGCGGAGCCCTGTGAGCAGCCAATCAGCTGCAATAGCCCTGAACTCCACTGTGCAACTACCCAGTCCAGTAGGAGGTGCTGCAGGCTGAGAAGCTTACAGATCTGGGTGGGGGGGGGGGGGGGGGGGGTGGGGGCCCCGGGGGGGGGGGGGGGGGGGGGGGGGGGGGGGGGGGTCTGCTCAGCAGACACACACATTCACGCTTTTTTCTTATTTACTCAGCCGAAGAGCACAGCCTCCATGGCTGGAACGGCAAAGGAAAAGAGAGGCATGTTACGCTCGTATTGACAACTGGCAGAGAGGAATCAGCCACAGGCTCACCAGCTGCCGGAATGAACAAAGGGCTACTGTATCAGCAACACAACACAGCCACTTGAGGCACCATGCCCCCCCCCCACCATAAACAACCACTTCTTACAGGGCAGAATTGCTGCCAGCCAGCTAGCCGCTAGCACAACGTACGGATGGACTTGAGGATAAACACAGACGGCATTTACGTTACGCTCTTATGTTTTGTGTACAGATATCACATCTGTGATCTGTCCCGACCTTCAAAGATTCAGCTGAGAAATCAACAACAAAACGTTCAATCCAAGCCATCGTCTTGGTGAGCTCAACACTTAACAGGACAGTTGAGGCTCCTAGACTGGCCTGGGCTGTGATCCACCACCCGACGAAAAGCCCTGACACCAGAGCCAAAGAGCTGGTATAACGTAGATCCATCCTTTTCGTCCTTGAGAGCAGTGAGGTTTTCACGGGCCACACGCAGCGGTGAATCACCACATTGACTCCCCAGATGAGAGTGTAACCACCTGATTCATAAATTAAACACGCATGATCCTAGCTGCTGAAATCCCCAGCAGATAAGGCTACTGAACAAGTGAAGCCAGCCAGAACTATGAGTCACAGCAGAGCAACATTGGCCTTGTCACTTTCAGGCTTTCATATTCTGGTAGTTATTTGTATTCCAGTAAGAACTCCAGACAGTCACAATGAGGAGTTTAAACTAATGATTATACATTCTAATGGTATTTTCCAGGAAACACATTGAAAATTAATTCTTCCTTTCTGTTTAACGCAAGTCTGATTCCCTCAAGTATGTTAAACAGAAATACACCCAGATTCATCCAGGCAACACAGACCTTCAGTTCCCATGGACCCATCTCACTAACTATGAATCTTTAAGACATTATTAAAGGCAGAAATCAATTTCAATAAATACTCACAATGAATAAAGACTGAGACAACATCTTCCACTTGAAACTTAGTTCAAAACTACCGTTTCTGCTTCACGTTTCTCCGGGCCGAGGAAAGGGGAACATCTGAGTTTAAGGCTAACTAGAAGACACCAACACCAAACGGATGTGAGAAGTGAAACAGGAAGTGGCTGATTACGCTTAGCATCATTAACAAAATAGCAGGGAAGACATATATATATAAAAAAACAAGTTACACCCGGACCTAAAAATCCGGTTTCACATTGGAACCTGCAAATGCCAGTTTAAAAAGTATTTAATTTGGATTCAATTCAACCAAACTGCACAGGTAGCCATCAACTTACGCCTGGGTTTTGTCCCGGAAATGAGGATGTAAGTCAGTCTCGATCAGTATAGGGGTCGAGTACACTGCATAGCATAAGATACAATACCACACACATTTAACTAAACCTCTGTGGTGGCAGTGTGATCAGTTTGTTTTGGTTCTTGCCGCATGCGGCACACGTAATAAAATATGTCCACTAACGTCCACTACATCTGCTTCGGGTATCTCTCAATAAATTGTTTTTAACGGCTCTTGTGGGGCGTAAGCATTATTGGGCTCTTCTCGACAGATGACTGTACAGTCAGGCCTGCTACGACGCAACAAATGCGGTCCTGAAAAACCTCGCGTTCACTAAAATCGCCAACTAAAATTCACACATAAAAATGATAAAAATAGGGTGAGGGGAATGCGACTCCAAAACTTAGGAACTTATTAGCAACAAAATTAATTAAATAATAAACTGTGATACCAGTCTCATAAGAAGATCAGTAGCTACTTCAATCAAACGTGCAGAACTGACTAATGTGTCTGTTGATGTGTGTCAGAAGTAATAAACCACAGCCACCATGCGGCCGGACATGCACACGGCATAAATACACTGGACTGCAGTACGCGGAGGGGCACCATGCGGCCGGACATGCACACGGCATAAATACACTGGACTGCAGTACGCGGAGGGGCACCA